GGGGGGGGGGGGCAGCCACCGCAGCGCGCTCTCGCTGGCTCCCGCTGCCCACTGTGTACACACGCCATACAGTACAAGCTCTCTGTGTGTTCCGATATACCTCTCCGCCCCCCACGGGGGCGCTGGCTGCGCTCAACGTCGGAATCAATGTGTACTCACTCGTCCGATGTCGATGTCCGGCTGCCATACAGCTTATTACGTGACAGTGCGCGTCTCTCTTTCTCTCTCTCGTTTTCTCTCTCTTTCTCTCTATCTCTTTCTCGCTCTCCCCTCCCCCCTCCCCTCTCTCTCTCACCCCGCCCGCGCAGTCCTCCCAGTCAGACGCCCCCGTCACTTCTCTTTCCTCCGGGAGTTCCAGTCGAGAACAGGAAAGGACGTTGCTACGCTCGCTTCCGGTCGGGTCCAGTCAGTCGCGGCGTGGCGTGGCGCGGCGCGGCCCGGCGGTGCGTTGCGGCCGGACAGCGGGTGATTCGTGTTCCTCGGCGTGCTTTGGTCGGGGCATTTACATTCTCCACGCCCGCCGCTGGCCCGCCGCCTCCCTCCGGCCCGGCTCGGTGCGCCCGATCAATTCGGATTTACATCGTCGAGGACGACACGCCCTACAAGTTGATTACTGCCGCCGCGGCGGGAACTAATGTCACCGTTCCATAGGGGGTGACTATCCCTTCCGCGTGTCGCACGAACATCCAACATGCCAATGCAGAGTAGGGTGTTTAACTACACTAGGCCGGAAGTGTAACCAAGAAAATCGGAAAAGCAGAATACGTACTGCTGGCTCGGGTTGCGTTCCTCCACTTTGCTTTCTCACTTCCAGCCCGTAGCGACTCTGTAGTGAAATTTACACTATTTCAGTTTTTCTCCGTCTCTGTGTGTGTGTGTGGTCCATGGCGGTTTGGTGGCAGCGGGTTCGGTGTTTTTCCCTGTTTCGGCCGTTGAATGGGTTTTGGCGTTGCTGTTTGGCAGTGCACCGGGGACAGGCTCGTCCGTGTCCACCTGTCCGTCCGCCCGCTACCCTCCTCCACGTGCAGGGCGGGCTGGTGGTCCCTTCGCCCCCTCCCCCCACCCCCCTCCCCCGTCCGCCGCCGGGCGCGGCCGCCGGGCGGGTGCTTCGCCTTACCTTCGCCTCCCCCTCCTCCCTCCAACTACTCTACTAGTTGGCCGCCGGCCCTCGACGCGCGAGGGAGCTGCGTTGAGCTGCGCTGAGCTCGGCGAGTGCGTGCTGCTGCCCAGCCGGCATGACGGTGCACCGTGAGGGCGCGGCGGGCCCCGCGAGGGCGGCCCGCCCCGTGTCCATGCCCGCGCTCAACATCCTGGGGCACGGCGGCCCCCGCGCGACGCGCTGCTCCGAGGGCTCGTCACCGTCGCCCCTGACGTCCCCGGGCACGCCGCCCACCTCGTCCATGGGCTCGCTGGACGGCTCGCTCGGCAGCCTGGCCAGCGACTGCTGGGACGACGACAGCCAGGATTACGTCGACGACGCCGCGGAGGCCGGCGGCGGCAGCACGGGGTGCTGGCGGCGCACCCAGCAGCTCAAGTCCACGCGGAGCAGCCCGCTGCTGTCGTCCTCGAGCGCCCCCGCCGGCCGGTGGGCGCCCCTCGACGTGGACGACGGCCCGGCCACCACCAAGTCCACGCCCGCCGCGCACCCGACCAAGCGGCCGACCTTCCTCAACCTGCGCCGCTCGACCAGCGCCAACAACACCATGTCCGCGCAGAAGTACTCCAAGCTGCCCGTGTCCAGCTTCGGCACGGTGCGACGCGTCAGCGAGTGGCTGTCCAAGTGAGTGTGGCGGAGTGATAGGGCCCAGCCAGTGTGCAGCGGGTGGACGGGTCTATGACCGCAGATAGCATCTCGGCCCGGGACAAGAGCGGCGAGAGCGTCTCGGGGCGCAGCACGGGGGAGTGGCCTGCCCAGGAAATCCGTCCAATTTTCGGTGGGGGGAAAGAAAGTTAGTGTTGTGCGTCCGAGTGTGAAGTGCGGGGGTGTGCCGAGTGTCGTCACGGATTGGAGACCTCCGTCTCGTCTCGTCCGTTGCGTGGGCCCGCCCCGCGCCTCTGTGTGTGCGCGTGTGCGTGTGAGTGAGAGGAGAGTGTATTTGTGTGTGTGTAAGTGACGGTCTGTTGACGCAAGCGGCTCTAGTAGTGCCCGTCTCCAGCGATGCCCACTGCTAATCCCGCCCTTCCCTCCCGACTGTGTGTGTGAGTGTGTGTGTGGGAGAGTGCGTGCGTGCGTGGGTGTGCGCGTGTGTGCCTATCCTATGTGCACCTCCCTCCGGTCCTCCCCCAGCGTTGCCAGGTCTCCTCCCAGCCGGCCCGGGGAGCGGGCGGGGCCCGGCCTCTGCCCACCACGGCCTCGGCCCAGCCCCGCCAGCGGAGAGGTCCTCCGGCACAGGACCTCGGACTCGGCGGGGAAGGGGTAGGGGCCTGGCGGGGCCGGGCTTTAGCCGAGCGCTTTAGCTATGCATTCGAAAAGAACCCCCCCACCCCCTCCCACAAACAGCCGTATATTATGGCCGTGAAAGACGGTTGGGGTGGATGTCGAAGGTCGACGGATCGTCGGCGTTGGGGGAGGGGGCGGAGGGGCCCGTGGGAGCGTGTGTGCGGGGGTGCCCTCGCAACACGTGTGCCTGTGTGTGTGAGTGTGTGTGAGGGCTGGTGGCACATTGTCCCTCCCCATGCGGGCAACACATGGCATCGGCCCGCCGCTGCCGGGCCCCGCCGGCCCCGTCGCTCCTGCAGGCGATAACTTGCCAAAGAACCACCCCCCTATGCTCTATTATTCTTTGCCCCCCGTACACCCCCCGCGCCCCGCCCTCTTCGGTACGGAGAACTCGCTCGCTGTCTGTCTTTTTATTCCCTTACCTCTGCCCCCCCCCCCGCCCGTCCGCCTATGACGCTCCCCGACGCTTTTTAACCCCACCGACACCGACCCTCCTCCGCCCACCCCCGCCGCGCGGAGAGCCAGAGTGTAGAGCAGCGGAGAGCCTCTCGCAGAGCAGAGCCAAAGCAGAGCGCGGCCATTGATTCCCGTGTCCCTACCGACCTCACGCGCGGGCCCGAGTCCTCGGAACGTTTTTGCAGAACAGGTACCCGCCCCGCCCCGCCCCGCCCCGCCTCGCCCCGCCACGGCCCGGCACTACCGCGAAGTGACGGAGCGGGCGGCGGCGACTTTACTGCGAGCTGCGGACTGGACTGCGCTGCTGACCAGGGGGCGGCCTGGTGGGCTGGGGGGCTCCTGCCTGGCGGGGCGGGGACCAGCTCAGCTCACCTGTCGCCGGATGTTTTTCTCGGACAGACTTAATTTTAGGTAGAATGAGAAAGGAATGAGGTGTCGCAGACAAGTCCGCGAAATTGTCGGTTCTCATCCTTTGCGTCATTTTTTCGGAAAGTTTGGAGTGTTGTTGTACGTTTATGGTTTTTATATAGTGTGTGGCTGTGTTATCTATCTACAGCAATACATTTACTGTAGCCTTCACATCACCTAATCCATTTCTTGTCTCTAAGTTGTTCAAACACATTGACGCGAAATCAGTATGGCTCACTCCCTCAAACTGACCTCGAAGCCCCATTTCATGAATGCTTTCAGCATGTTCGTGACTCTAATTTTTATTTTTTGCTCTCTTCTGCCCAACAGTACGCAAGCTGCAAGGGACCTGTGGTGGACCAAGCTCAATGAAGCCGTGGCGGACAGCACCGAGAACGAACCCAAGTCAACGAACATCCAGGTCGTCTTCTACGACATGGACACCAACATCGAATACGTGAGTATACACATGCAGTTGGGGGAAATATTCGTTATTATTGCCACCAGTTGCCACTCATGTTAGAAAGAGGAAAGGGGGAAACAAAAGCCAGCATCACAAATAATTTTCCTCAGCCAAGTAAAGTGATCGTGGCATTGTCTCTGGCAAGGTGAAGTTTGGAGCTGCAAGTGCAGCACTCTCTCTCTCTCTTTCTCTCCTTCTCTCTGTCAGTGTCCTTCTCTCTCTGTGCCTCTTTATCTGCTCCCCCACTCTCCACTGCACATTCCGTGCCGTGACAGCGGCGACGAGAGCCCTACCTCGAATCGAGTCGGGCCCCGAGCCGGCCGTACGTCGCGCGGATCAACCGGACACTACCTAGAACGGACTGGGCCGCCACGCCACGGCTCGGGGAAGGGGGGGGGGTATGCACGCACTGGCCGCGAGCTTTTGCTTTCCGAAGGGTGGGGTAACAATCTTCTTGCGTCGCGGGAGAGACGAGAGAAGGGGTGCGGGTGGAGGAGGGTGAGGGGGACGCCGAGCCCAAGGGGTGCAGGTGGAGGAGGGCGAGGGGGACGCCGACGCCGGGCTCAAAGGGTTGCGGCTGGAGGAAGGTGAGGGCGACGCTGAGCCGAAGGGGTGCGGGTGGAGGGAGAGTGAGGGGGATGTGAGTTCACGGGGTGCAGGTGGAGGAGGGTGAGAGGGAGGCCGAGCTCAAGGGGTGCGGGTGGAGGAAGGTGAGGGGGAGGGCGGTAAGGACTACTGTCCGCTCATGCCGCCACCGCCGTCGCCGTCGGTCTCCTCGTCTAGGCGTCGCGACACTGTTTTTATGTGTCTGTCTGGTCCCTACTCCCCCCCCCCCTCCTCGGGGTGCCCGGCAGCGCATTCCTGCCCGTCAGAAGGAGGCGGCCATCAGGTACCAGATCCAGATTTTGATTCCGCCCGGCTGGAGGCGGCCGTAAGGCGCGGGGGCTTGACGAGGACGGCCTCCCCTGGGCCTGCCCTGGCCTCCCTTGGGGCCCCCCTCGGGTCGGGTGCTCCCGCCGCACCTTGAGCCGTGATATGTGACGGCGCGCATCAGCGCTCTTAGGTCAGGATCGAGAGATCCCCTCCCCCTCTTTTCCTCAGCCCCCCCCCTCTCTCTCTCTCTCTCTCTCTCTCTCTCTCTCTCTCTTGCTCTCTCTCGCTCTCTCTCGCTCTCCATCTATCTCTCCCCCCACGGACACCTGTGGCCCCAGCGGGGGCGCGGGGCCGGGCGGGGCGCAGTGGCTGCCCAGGCATAAACGATATGGGGAAAGCAATTTACTGTTCCCGTAATGGGAGGACTTGGACGGCATCGTTAATGAATAACAGGCCCAGAAAAATGTAATAACAACTTTTTACGTCCGCTCGTCGGTGTCGTTGGGATTGCTCCGAACATCAGTGCTTCGGAGGCCGGCGCTCTCGGACGGGTGTGTCTCCAGCAGACTTCTCTAACGATCGCATTCTCTCTCTCTCCGCAGTGCAAGACGCTGTGCGTACGGCCCGCAGACACGGTCCAGGGCTGCATCCAGATGGCGCTGGAGCACCTCGAGATGCAGGCGCTGGACCCGCACAGCTTCCAGCTGTGGGCCAAGACGCCCGGGGACGACTCGCCGTACCCGCTGGTGGGTCACGAGCGGCCGTTCGCCATCCGGATGGGGTGCCTGCGCGACCAGATGGACCAGGGCGAAGGCTTCGACCTGGACCACTGCAACAACATGTACGAGCCGCTCAACCCGCGCCAGCGCTGCCAGTTCATCCTGCGCAACGTGAACCAGCTCACGGAGCAGCAGAAGCAGAAGAAGCCCAAGAGCCGGAAGAGCCCCATGCGCCTGCGCCACGTCTTCAAGCGCGCCAAGAGCGAGGTGAACGTGGACGTGGAGAGCGGCGGCAGCGCCGGTGGCAGCGCCGAGCCGGAGGAGAAGAAGAAGGGCAGCAAGAAGAACAAGCTGCTCAAGCAGCGGCGCAGCAACAGCAGCGGCCAGGACACGACCGACAGCGGGCTGCCACCCTACCTCGACGAGCAGCCGCTGCCGCAGGGCGACCTGTTCGGCGTGCCGCTGCAGCAGCTGTGGCGCGAGTGCCACGGCCCGGCCGGCCTCGTCGTGGACGACATCGTCGGCGAGCTCGCCAAGCCCGTCATGTGCCTGCTGCACCACGTGCTCGCGCACGGCCTGTCCACGCAGGGCATCTTCCGGCGCTCGGCCAACCAGCGCGCCGTCAAGGAGCTGCGGCGCGCGCTGGACGGGCCCGCGGCCAGCGGCACTGCCGTCGGCACGGCCGGCATGTGGGAGGGCGCGCACGCCGAGGCGGCCGCCGCCCTCATCGACAAGGCCAGCGTGCTCACCACCTCGTGCGCGCTCAAGGAGTTCCTGCGCTGCTTGCCCGTGCCGCTGCTCGTGCCCGAGCTGTGCGCCGACTGGCTGGCCGCGCACCACGTCCCCGCCCACCCCAACAACGGCGCCAAGCTGCAGCGGTACGCGGCCGTGGTGGCGCAGCTGCCCCGCTGCCACCGCGGCCTGCTCGCCTACCTGCTGTGCCTGCTGCACACCATCGCCGCGCACAGCCACATCAACCTCATGGGCTCCCACAACCTGGGCGTCGTCCTGGCGCCCAGCCTGCTGCGCGCGCCCTTGCACGCGCCGCCCGAGCTGGAGCAGGTGCTGACCGTGTCCACGCCCGCCATCGTCAGCTTCCTCATCGACAACTGCCAGGCGCTGTTCGGGCCCGCCGTCACCAAGCTGCTCGGCGAGCTCCCTCCGCCGCAGGACAGCGGAGCCGAGGAGTCCGACAGCCTGCACTGTGAGTATACGGAGTATACAGGACTCTTCCTCTCCTAGGGTTCGAAGCCCTGGAAAAGTCCTGGAATATTTCAGGAAAATTTCGGGAAAATGGAAAATTTTCCAAACTTTCGAAGTTTTCCGTTATTTTTCGGAATTTTCCCGTAAACGTTTGGAAACTTTTAACCCTATCCTCTCCTCCCCCTCTGACGCCCACCCCTCGTTACAGCAGGCGGCCTGGACAGCCTGGAGCACCTGGAGCCGTGCCCGCCGCCGCGCAAGGACAAGATGTCGCTGAGCAGGGACTCGGGCCTCACCATGAGCGACTCGCAGCTCTTCACCCCGGACGAGGAGGAGAGCGGCTCCACCAGCTCCTCGGGCTCCGGCCGGCCGGCCAACCGCTACAAGGTGAGCAGTAGTAGTCTTGTTGGCACCGCCGATCAGGTTGATTTACAATGGGGCCTGTCAAGCCGCCTCAAGGAAAGCTATGGGCTGTGAAGTAGAGAAAGTGAGATGTAAATTCAAAAAATGTAACTGAAATTTTCTTAAAATGTGAACTTCAAAAAGTAGTTCAAAAATTAGTCGTATAGTATCAGTGTTTCTGAGAATGTTAACTAAAACCTTAAAAGTACTTCAAAAAGTAGTTCAAAAATTATTTGTATAGTAACAACGTTTTTGAGGGGTTGCTTTATGGATTATTTTTGTGTCAGTACTGAACTAACGTGTCCTTGTGCCCTTGCAGCTGTCCGTTACGGCCGCCTCCAGCCCCGGCCAGGGCGGCGTCCCGGGCCAGGGCGGGTCGGCGCCGGCCTCGGGCTGCAGGCAGTACGTGCGCGTGTACGGCGGCTGGGAGGAGCGGCGCGCGGGGCTGTACAGCGCGTGCAGCAGCCCCCGCACCCAGCAGCTTCCCTCGGCCACCTCCACGGGCACGGGCGGCGCCAGCCCCACCAGCCCCACCGGCAGCGCGTCCACCCCCACCGGGGCGGGGCCGTCGCCGTTCAAGCGCGAGGACTGGTTCCGGCAGCGCTCCGCCCTGCGCAGGCTGGCCAGCGGGGGCGCGGGCAGCCCGTCCAGCAGCAGCAACAGCTACAGCCCCGCCAGCAGCCCCGGGCCGCAGGCGGCCGCCGGCCAGCAGGGCCCCGGCTCGCTCGGCCACAGGGACCCCGCCGGCCTGCAGGGCATCTACGGCAACCTGGCGGGCGAGGCCGCCGGCGACCCGGCCTCCCCCACCCCTCCGCACCGCGCCGCGACCATCCGCCGGTGAGTATAACGGGCTGCATTGACCTGTCCGAGGACCTCCTCAGTCCGGACACCTGTTTACTGTTTACTGTCACTCGAGCTGCCGAGGGCTTTGAGGGCCGTGGCGGCTCATTATGCGCCCCGGCCTGACGAGGACCTGACGGGGACCTGACGGGGACCTGGCGACCTCATCAACAGGTCGGGGACCAACCAACCCCATTGTCCGGCCGTAGCCAATCAGAGGTCGCGGAGGCCAATCATCGGAGCGCCCCGCCCGACGCGAATATGACAATGATGACAATGAAGGGGCGATCACAAAACGCAGGCTTTCACAAGTATAGGGGTGCCACTTGTGTATTTTTTTAAAGAGACTCTTCCGCGTAGAGGTTCCTTACCTCGCACTTGTACCGTGCGTCAGGGCTACGACACTTCAGCTGCGGGTTTGCCCGAGGGGTTCTGTATGAAAGCGTACATCGATTTTTCTGTTTATGTCTTGACTCTTTTCCTGATTTTGAAATTCATTTTTTTCTGATTCTATCCTGATTTTCCATTTTTTTTTCTATTTCTCGTCTCCACCCACGACTTTTTATTTTCGGCATAAGTGTGGCGGAAATGCTTGAATTTTGTTAAGGGAAAAGTCATGGAAACTTCCCAGGGTATTTGAATAAATATCCCGACTCTGTTTTAACAACCCTTCGTCCCTTTTGCTTCCAGGCTGGAGAACGCCCGGCGGGACCGGCTTCGACGTAGCGCGTCGGAGGAGTCGCTGCTGGAGCGGCCGCGCCGCGCTGGTGGCCCCGCGCAGCAGCCCTGCGGGCCGTGCGGGCGCGCGCTGCCGGCGCTGCCGCCGCAGGACCTGTACGCCGCGCCGCTCAGGGCGGGAGCAGCGCCAGCGCCCCGGATGGCGCGGTCGCGCAGCGCCTACCACCTGGCGCCCGCCAGCCAGCGCCTGTCCGTGTACCACGAGGCGCTCCAGCAGGACGCCGACCTGTACGGGTACGCGTGCGTGCGCGGCGCGGGGGCGCCCTCCAGGCCCGCCAGCAGCAGCAACAAGAGCGCCGAGGAGTCGTACGACTCGAGCACCCTGTCGGACGACGACTCGACGCCGCACGTCTCGCGGTCCAACTCGCGCAGCAAGGAGCCGTGGAGCCCCGGCTCGACCGCGTCC